TGTCCCCTATCAGACAGTGAAATCAGAATTTAATTAACTTGATTGATAATATTTTTATCGTAGAATGATGTTCATTAAAAACTCTGGGATAATCATTGATTTATTGCAAATTCCCGAAAAGTACATGTGTTAATATGTTATATTACCAGGCCCCCTTTATATATATTATAGAATTTAGTGTTATTTCTTCAATGCAAAGATGTCCCCTATTAGATAGTGAAATTAGGATTTAATTGGCTTGATTGATAATATTTTTATCTTAGAATGATGTTCGTTAAAAACTCGCAAAAAAACAAAACAAAAAAAATACTGATTTATTGCATTTTCCCGAAAAGTGCATGTATTTATACGTTATATTACGGGTCCCTCATTATAAATATTATAAAATTTATTGTTGTTTCTTTAATGCAAAGGTGTCCCCTATCAGACCGTGCAAACAGAATTTATTTAACTTGACTGATGATATTTTTATCTACAAATGATGTTCATTAAAAACTCTGAAAAATCACTGATTTATTGCACTTTCCCGAAAAGTATATGTATTTGCACATGTTATTACCAGTCCCCTTTAAGATATATTCTATTATTCGATGTATTTTCTTTAATGCAACAATGCCCCCTAACATATAGCGTAATTTGTATCGATTTATAATGATTATTAAATTTTTGAGCAACGAATGATGTTCGTGAAAAAACTCGGTCGCGGTGTTATTTAACGGGATCTAGCGTGCGTGTTTTCTCGCCTTTTATTTAATCATTTGTTTATATTTTATTAGTATAATTAATGTCCTTTATATATTGAAAAACTGCTTATCTTACTTGTTCTGCATTGGTTTTTGGTGGGTCTAATAGAGTTGTAAGATCTATGATTGTAAAGCCTAATTTCTGAATAGTTGCTTCTAACTCCTTACGCGGTATTATATGACGTTTGCAAGAACATGTGATCTATGGTTTCCGGCTGATTACATTCACTGCAGTTTTTTCGTTTGTAAAAGAGTGGCCTTTGAGAAATGTTTTGTTTAGTTTTAAACGAGTGTATATTTTATCTAGATGTCTGTTATGGTGATATTGCGTTATCTTACTGGGTGGAACTTGATTTATTTTTATGTTATTTGTAGAACAATATTCCGACCATAATGCATTTCTTTTTTCTATTATCTTACGGTTGATTACACTGTAAACTTCGCGAATACTTAATGGTAGATCGCACGTGTTACCGTTGAGACTGGCTTGTTTTGCATATTTGTCGGCTCGTTCGTTCCCTGTAATTCCGACGTGACTTGGTACCCAAACTAATATTAATTCATATTTTAATGAGCGTATAAGGGATGCTTTCTTTAATATATTATTACACATGGCCGGTTGATTTTTTGAGTGTCCAGATTGAATTGATTGTAAAACACTTAAACTTTCGGTGAATATGGCCGTCTTTTTGTACTGATTTTCTATTATTCATTCAATAGCCTGGTTTATAGCCACCATTTCACAGGTATATATCGACGCGTATTTGTTATTTTTAATCTTAATTTCATTAATACATATGCCGTTTTTATCGAATTCTATTATGCCCGCCCCCGCTAAACCCTCATCCGGGTCCTTACTACCATCCCTGAATATTTGATGATGATCAGCAAATGCAGGTTAGCCACCACTAAATTATCCATGTTTGAATTTGATTTATCTATTTTTCCTGTTAATGTTGTATCGATATTTATTGGTGATATATCTATTATCGTTTCATAACAAGGTTTTGCTATTTTTATTTCAGATATTTCATATTCTTGTACTAATTTGGCAACATTGTGTGCGTAGGGTACTTTCTTTATGCGTCTTTGTGAAAAGGGGTCTTCACCTATTTTACTATTTATTGGTAAGTTGTCATCTTGACTTACTGTACGCGCCCAGTATTTAAGGGTACATTTTTCTCGTTGTAGATCTAATTTAAGCGTATTTGTTTCAACATGTAATTTTTCCGTATTCGTAGAGGGTAGGGCCCCCGTTACTATTTTGAGAGCTTTATTTTGCATGATTTGTAATCTTTGTTTTTGTTTTTCGCTAGCCGAATTATAAATGATGCAGCCATAGTTTATTTTACTCAGAATTAGTGCCTCATATATTCGATATAGACATTTTTTATCAGTCCCCCATTCTTTTCCTCTAATTGATCTTATTGTATTAAGGTCTTTTTCACAATCGCTGGCCATGTTACAATGCGATTCCCTGACCTAAAGGGAATATTAAATGTTTAGTATTCTAATATCTAATAATAAATGAAGTTGCAAATACAATTACCAATTATATGGATGCATTTTCATCACTCTTAAGTCATTTCAAACTTTGAAGTTCCCTTTTTTCTAACAAGCGCCATTATGCCGCATTCCGGATATTCTGAAAATGAATGTTAGCATGTGATTTTCATACATAATTCATTATTTTGAAGCCAATTTTGTAACAACTTCTATAAAATCACTCAGATAGCAAAACTACACTGTTCTCATTACAGAAGTGCTTCAAAATACTAATTTTGTAGCAAAAGGATGTAGCAGGGAGCAATTTTATCACCCCACCCATAACAAAATAAGTGATTTTTCACCCAAATTTCAACATTTTATTACCAATAGACTTCCTGAATGAAGATTTAGCTTAGCAAACATACTTAATTACTACTATATAGTGACCTGATTATGGATTACACATTATTTGTACACACATAGCAACATTTTGGGTGTAACTAGGTATCTTAAAACTGCCCCTGCTATATTTTTCTACTCCAAATACTTGCTAATATAGTCTTAAATACAAGCCTAAATGTCAATAAAATGCCAAAATTCATTTATATATATTTTGTTTCTCTCTTTCATGGATATAAAAAATGCAATATATGTAAAAACCAAGTTCCTCTGGACTTAATAGCACTGTAATAGCCTAAAATGTGACTTCTACACCCAATTTTTGACCATTTTTGCATTCATTTGGAGTCAAATATGACAATTGAAACCTACTTTTAGGTGTTTTACCATGTAAATCACCTCTTCAGGCCAAAATGTACTTGGAATGGAAAGTATTTGTGTATTTTCTTTACATTTAGGTAGCCAGAAACTAGAATTTATGCACTTATCTAAGTTTCTAAATAAATAAAGGGAGGTTATTCACTGAATGTGTGCATAATCACCCCCTTTGTGTACATTTATCTACCTGAATAAGTGCTTTTTCTGTTTATAGACACATCAGAAACACTAAAGCTGTGTTATAATTGTGCCTAATATAATTGTGAAAAAGTAGATCAACTTTAACTTATCAATAAAACTTTTTCTACAAAATAATTCTACCCTTGGCCATTATGATGCTCATTCAAATATGCCTTTAACAGACATAAAGTCTAAAAACTATGGCATTATACATTGTGAATGTGTAAATATGTATTACCAAATAGAAAACAATAAATTCTTATCACTATTTTGCATCTAAACCACATAATAAGAGGCTATTCAGAGGCAACCTAACTGAATTATGCTACCTTTTTCAATGCATTTCAATGTGTTGATATTCATGCCCTGAAACCAAGTCAATTTTAAGACAGAAGCCTTAAAATGCTATTTATTTGAAGCTTTTATGCTATCTATGCCTGTAAATGAAACACATAACATTCTTATAGGGGAAACAGACACAGAAGCAATTTATTTGTGACATTCTAGTATGTAAATATTTGAGCAAAATGGAAAAAAATTAGTGCCGAGCGAAGAACTTTCCGCCACTAAACAAAGTCGAAAAGTTAACAAAAACAGCACCCTAGACTATTTTAAGTATTAATATATTAGTTTTGAACCCGACAATATGCATTTGTAGTGATATACCTGCAACACCCATCAAAAGTGGCCAATGTGCTTACATCAGGTCCTGTCAAGTTATAAATGAAGTCTTCAAACCTGGCATGTGTATAGCCAATGTACAGCATTTCTTTGATATCTGAAAAAAATATTTTAATGACCAAGGTCTACATTATTCATCATCAACATATCACCAATTGATTTTCACTCCAATTCACTGTTTAAAGAAAATATAAACCATTACTAACTGTTAAGTAACACTAATACACTTGTTCATATGTATACAATGCTTGTAGATTGGCCCCCTTGACACATTATCTGCTGTAAACACCAACAGTTGCACTGAAATACTGAAATCTCATACCTAGAAAGGCTATATACATTCATTCTTCCAAAATATCAGCTTTTCATGGTGTAATCAATGAAGACAAAGTACTACAAAGAATTATGACAGTTCAAATGTCCCTCTCTTTTAGGTCAGACACTCACATTGATATTTCCATAGACTTACATTATAAGAAATGGTCCCTAATCCTACCTTAAAATTGAGTTTTCATGCTAAAGAGGTGATTTTTCTAGCAGAATGAAATGCCTGACACATAAAAATGTTCCTGTTATATAGTGGTAGCCAACCAAATTTTTTGCAAAATGACTTCAAAGAGGATTACCCCCCATTTCATTGAAATTTTCTGCTGATCACAGGACTGACATACACTTTTTATAAATGCAAATATCCAAGTCAAAATTATCATAGAGACTCATGAAATATTTCATTTTCTTCAGAAAACAATGTAGTGTTACTTTTTAAATAAGTTTTTATACTTAAAAATACCCCATTCTCATCCAATCACCTCATGTATAAAGTGATTCATACGGTTTTCCCTGCACTATTTTTCAGCCAATCGCTGGCCATGTTACAATGCGATTCCCTGACCTTATACATGTTATAAACCAGCAGATACTTACTTTGATGAAAGAGAGATTCTGAATAGATGGAAATGTGACTTTGAATGTTTATATAATGGCACGGATTCTAATGATTTCAACAGTGAGCATTATAATCAGGCTAAAACACACAAGTCAATGTTGGAGAATAATATTAGTGATCCTTTATACAACCAAAATGTAACACTTAACGGAAATATAACGTTGACGGAAATTAGTGAAGTTGTTATGAAAGCTAAATCCCGTTCAGCATGCGGTTACGATGAGATTCCGTATTTTGTTCTGAAATGTCCAGCTCTAATTGCCATATTGAAAGAACTATTTCAGTTGATATTTGATACCGGCATTATACCATCTATATGGAGGAAATCAATTATATGTCCCATTTTGAAAGACCCAATGTCAGATCCACGTGTACCATTACATTATAGAGGAGTCATTTTATTGTCATGTGTAAGTAAACTCTACACTGGTCTAGTTAATAAACGGTTGACAAAATATCTCGAAGAAAATGACTTACTGGAAGATGAGCAAAACGGCTTTAGACGCAATCGATCTTGTGAGGACCATGTTTTTCGTTAAGCGGTATAATTCGCAACAATAATGAAGTATTTGCATCCTTTATCGACTTACGCAAATGTTTTGATTTTATAGACATTGATATGTTATTATACAAATTACTACTAAATGGCATTGACGGGAAAATGTACACAACAATTAAGAGCATTTATCAGAGATCTACTGCAAGTGTGCGTCTAAATAATAAGTTAACAGACTAGTTTACATGTACTACTGGAGTAAAGCAGGGAGATTCGGCTTCCCCGACATTATACTCCATTTTCGCAAATGATCAAGTGAAGGAGATCAATGACCTTGACCTTGGATTTAACATAGACGGAAGGAAGCTTTCGATGTTACTATATGCAGATGATATAGTATGTATCGCAAAATCTGAAGAGGACCTCCAACGTATTCTAGTGAAAGTTCGTGACTGGTGTAGACGGTGGCGAGTACTTATTAATACAGAGAAGTCCAAATGTATTCACTTCCGGAAAGGACGATCAGCACGTACGGATTTTCAATTCAAAGTTGGTGGAAACGTACTAGAGCTTGTTGACAGCTACAAGTATCTTGGCGTAACTTTTCGCAGTAACCATGATTTCACCATGAATGCGGAATTGCTAGCTAAAAGTGCTGGTCAAGCTCTCGGTAAAATTATTGAAAAATGCGAGAAATGAAAGACTTTGGCTGTAAAACATTCGAAAAGCTTTATAATTCATGTGTCGTGCCTATAATGGACTATTGTTCCGGTGTTTGGGGTTTTAAAAAATACCAATCGCTTGATAATGTACAGCATCGTGCTATTAGACACTACATGGGAGTCCACAGATTCGCACCTATTCTTGCAATCACGGGAGACATTGGATGGATACCAACAAATCAAAGACGATGGATTAACATGATACGAATATAGAACAGGGTTATCACAATGGACGAAATAAGAATCACAAAACACGTGTTTAACACGGATTACCGTAATTGTCACAATAATTGGTGTAGTGAAATCAAGGACATATTTTCAAAAATAGGCCTGGTAGAACATTTTAACAATCGTACGCCAGTGAATTTAATGGTCGTTAAATCGGCTATTGAAAATCATTATAAGTCAGTGGAGCGAGAAATTGAATCAATTTTCTAAACTCAGAACATATAGACTCTTTAAAAATAACTTCGAGCAAGAATCATACCTTAAACTAAACCTAAAAAGAAACGAACGTTCATTACTCGCACAAATGCGCTGCGGTATATTACCAATTCGTGTAGAAACAGGAAGATATGTCGGTGAATTACCAGAACAGAGGCTATGTACATTATTCATTATTCATATTGTGATTCAGGATCTATTGAGGATGAAATGCATTTCGTTTTAAAATGTAGCTTGTACCATGATATAAGACTCAACCATTTAAGTGAGATTTTTTCAAATGATCAATTAACCCAATTTACAGACAGTGACAAATTTGTACATATTGTTCAGAATCACCCTAGAAAACTAGCTAGATTCTTAGTATCGGCATATATGAGGCGTGGAGACTATTTGTTTCATAGACACTGAAACTGTGATTACTTATTCATTTAAATATTTACTATTTTTTGGACTGTATTAGGACATTTTATGACATTGTAATCTGAACTTTATTATCATATTTTATTGATATACATTAAGGTTTGAACAATCGTAACGGTTTTTCTATAATCTTTGATAATCCCTTTTTTATCACAGTAACTGTATGTTAGAGTTATTATCGACTTAGAAATAGTATGGCAAGATTTTTATGAACTAAGATATAATGCATTAAAGGGACGTGGTCAGTTATCTTTAGATTACAATTTAAGCTAAGCCATCAATGAACTTTGAATAATGTTAAATTTTCGTTTTCGTTTTAGTATTGGTTAAAGTTAAGTACTCGGAACATAAAATCATACCACGTTAACATATTCAGAACTTTTCATTAAACGTGTTTAATTTGTACATGATGTTACAATCATATTAAAATATTGAGATAAACCATAGTGAAAGGTTCTATAAACAGGTGATACATATATTTCATGAAAAATCTGTCATAATAATTCAACGTATTTAAATGATAACTAATCTGTAACTTGTAAATTTTGGGCAATTGATTCTTATTTGTCAAATATATTTACGGACAACATAGAATTTCTTATACAGTACTTTTTTGTGGTTAAACTATTTAGAATAAATTAGTATTTCTTTTGAGCTAGAAGATAAATAAGATCTTTCTTCTTTTTCTTTTTTTTTATCTAAACATACCTTTTATGTTGTTCACGTGTTTTCAGATTTATTGTCTTCATGTTATTTGTGTCTTATAAGCCCATTGGGCCGGGTGTATACTATTGTTTATACATGTCTTGTTTGTTCATTGCTTGTATGTTTACATATGACACATTAATAAAATATTTATTTACTTACTTACTTACTTACTTTGTTCACGTGCAATACTTTTAGAAATTCTATAAAATTGTAAGAAGCAAACAAGTTGAAAATGGAATTTAGTGTGAAAATGAAAAGGACAACTAAACACTGTAGTGCTTAAGTGACATTTAAATTAAAATAAAAACGATGTGCTCTGGCCCTTGTAAATAAAAAAAAGAGTAAAAAATACACTATTAATTGCTGACGATTTTAACCAAAAATATTTTTAATGAGACGTACATATCCAAGAGAAATAAAAATACAAATGACTTATATTTTATTGTCTATATGCCCACTATATGTTAAAACACGAAGCAATTCTAAATAACATTCTCACATGTATAATGTATTATGCTTGAAGTTTATTTGCATGGTTTTATTTTAGAAATATTTCGTTGACAGTTTTCTTTTTTCTATTTACATATCATTTATTGGAATAAATCGATAATGACACTGATTTACAAGTTTGACCAGAGTTTTTAGGCATAAATTTCATTCTGTATTTAAATGCTTGAAAGTAGAAAATCTGGATTATATCAGATTGGGACACAAAATATATTGCTGTACAAATCTCGAACTTGTATGGGACAAATTTTCTTTGTTATATATTTTGTGTTTTATTTATTTTTTTTCTAAAAAAAAACCTAAATGTGTCTCCGGTTGCATATCCGTCGCATCCAGTGCTGCAGCACTTTGATTCAATTAATTATCAGTGTGAATGAACTTGGCCTGTCCGTACGCTCGTATTCCTTAACATGTTTATCTTAAGTATACTTAAAATTCGGATATATTTAATTATACTTCTCCCGATATTTTTCCTTTCTTCTGACATTTCTTCTTCATAATTTTCCTTACTCTCTCAATACCGATAATTCAACGATCAAATGAGCCGCGTCATGACAAAACCAACATAATGGGTTTGCGACCAGCATGGATCCAGACCAGCCTGCGCGTCCGCGCAGTCTGAACAGGATCCATGCTGTTTGCTATCAGTTTCTTTACTTGTTACAGGGTCTGTAAGTGAAATGTTTTAAATGCAGTTTATGTACAATTTATTGAATAATTAAAGTTTGAGCGAAACTATTCAATTTAACTTTAATTATATACAATCAGGATAATTTATGCTGCAACGTCGCCCATCTATATATAGAGTCTTCCAAGTAAACCTGATTTAGGAGTGGTCAGGTACCAGACAAAAAGGAATCATAAGAAAATGCCTGTAAATAGTCCTTGAATAGTGAAATGTTAAGGTATGTTGGTTTATTTCCATATCTCATTATCTATAATTTATGAAAATCTCAATTCAAATTTTCAATTATGGTCTCCATGGAAAAGTGATCGGCGAACATTTCGCCGTAAGTGATGTTGTATTAATTGGATTGTATCTTAAACACAGATTAGGCTTAGGATTTTGTAAAATAATACGCTCCAATCCAGGTACCATAGTAGCAATGTTGTTGTGGTCTAGATTTAATTCCCTCAGATGTTGAAATCGCAGAAAGCTGCCTGGTATTGTCTGCAGATTGTTGTAGGAAAGGACCTGACCTTCTAACACACTGTTCATTGGTATAAAATTCCCATTCACATACTGAATCTGGTTGTGATCTAAATAAAGTTTTTTAAGTAAAGGTGTATACTTAAGAATGTTTGGAAACTCCTTAAGCGCCCCCTCAACAAGTTCTAATTTTTGAAGTTTCAACAGCGAGTAATTCGATGGGCATACTTCAACAATGTTTGTAGCATTTAGATAAGGGGTTTCATGTATGGCTAGTATTGTCAGTGCTGTAAGATCTGTTAAATAACACGGTAGCGTTGTTAGATCAGATCTAATTATACTTATTGCATCTATTTTATTCTTAGATCCATAGAAGGGTTGTCTTGGTAACTTGTATTGTTCTATGTCATACAAAGCTGCAGTAATCAAATCAGTAAAAGAAGATAACTCTGCTGGCCAAGATGTCATGTTGCCAATTCCTAAATCATAATATGTAAGCATCGGGGCAATATGTTGGAGAACAATCTGATCCATGACTTTGATTGGGTTAAATTCAAGTGATAGTCCCCGAAGTTGTTTCAGCAATAAAAATGCAAATGGAATATTCGTCAAACTGTTGTATGTTAAATCCATTTCTAAGTACAGTAAAAACTCTGAAAACCGGACCCTCTGAAAACCGGAATCCTCTGAAAACCGGACCATTTCAAAAGTCCCGTATTTTCTCCTTATATGTTCATTGAAAAAAAACTCTGAATACCGGAACCTCTGAATTCCGAAAACCGGACGCTTTTCTATGGCTTCTTATCCTAAACATGCATAAAAATCCTCTGAAAACCGGACAGCAATTTTAAGTTTCAACTTTCTGTGTATTTTAAAGTATATTAAAACATAATCGCAACAGGTGACATGTTCAATTACCAGTTAATTATCACCTTTTTTTATTTATGCAGGTGTGAAAACACTTGTTAGTGTGTGTTAATTTCTTATTGGCAATTAAATTATAGCTCTTTCATTATAATTGTGCCTTTCCCTGATTTATCTAAATATTTTTAATTTGCTGTGTTTTTTCTTCTTCTTTTAATATAAAATGTCTAAAAGAATTAGAAACTTTTGTAAAATGATTCCTGTTTTGCAAAAAAAATTGATCTTTGTTGGATATTTATTAGATCTATATGCAAAAATAGTAATACTAAATTCCATTAATTACATAATTCAAAAGCCAATTAAAAAGACATATTTCAGACAATGTGTTGTTTTAATTTCTGATTTTCTGAATTATATTCATGGATTTGCATAATAAAATTACTTAAGACATTTATTGCTTAAAGAAATTAAAATATGACTAGGACAAATATGCTAAAAAGTAAATACAAAATGTTTTAACAAAGTCATAGTTCAAACACATTGTAATTATTAATAAATGTATAAAACCTCTGAAAACCGGAAACCTCTCAAAACCGGACTTTTGGTCAAGTCCTGAGAGGGTCCGGTTTTTAGAGTTTTTACTGTACACGTTTTCTATCCCTACGAACGCATTATTTTCGATTTTAGAGATACGATTTTGGTTTAAATCAAGGAAAATGTACGTGGCATTGAGATTGACGGGTGCAAAACCTGTCAGTAAACCTCCCGGTATAGATGTTAAGTTATTTTTCGAAAGTCCTATATACCAGTCAAAACTGTCAATTATAGGTTTTGTTATCACCGAAAAATCAGGAAATACATCCGAGCTTGTCTCGTCGCAGTAAATGTTGCTTTGCGGGACTTCTTTGCCGCTATCTTTATAGGCTTTAGTCGGCTGGACTTCGCGGAAGGCACGTGTTTGTTAAAGTGTCAACGACAAATGATTCGGTTTTCATCACCATAGAAACAGAAAATAACTGAAATGAGTAATAATTTCAATATATTAAAGATATAAGCGAGTTTCTGTTGTAGACTTGTACATGATGTGCAGATTATTTATCATTTATCCGGACGACTCATTTTTTATGCATAAAGATGATTGTATCCTATGCTTAAAAGGTGCCCAGCAAGGTGCCCAGCAGCAAGGTGCCCAGCAAGGTGCCCAGCAGCAAGGTGCCCTGCAAGGTGCCCAGCAGCAAGGTGCCCAGCAGCAAGGTGCCCAGCAAGGTGCCCAGCAAGGTGCCCAGCAAGGTGCCCAGCAGCAAGGTGCTCAGCAAGGTGCCCAGCAAGGTGCCCAGCAGCAAGGTGCCCAGCAGCAAGGTGCCCAGCAGCAAGGTACCCAGCAGCAAGGTGCCCAGCAAGACACCAAACATACACAGACGATGGTACAAGGGCAAAGCACGGACAGGTATGACACTCCATATTAAGGAACTGAAACATGCTAAAATATTGTCCCATACATACACCTTAAAGGGATTAAGCTTTATCTGATGAGTTGATATATTTAACATTTATAAACAATAAAATTATGTTGTTTTTCATGATAACCACATGGTCGTTACTTCAGAGTTGTGACATTTAATGCCTCTTGAATACAAAATATTGTAATATTGAATTTGTACGTAAATATATTAAAATGTTCCTGAACAAAATATTCCGCTGTAATCCTTTCAATTATAAGAGAAACAACAATTTAATAATCATTAACAGCAAATAAATAGATTTATGCACTTAAACGTACAGTATGATATTTTCTTATATTTTCAGTCTGAAAAAACAAGGCGGAAGTGTAAACGTGTCAGGTAATTGTTTAAGTTTGTCATTTCAATATGAAAACAGGGATTAACAAGAAAGGGCGGCATTCGATGAACCATTCCCATAATAAATGTTTTGTTTCATTCACATTGACATTGTTAAATGACACTAAGCTTTTCAGGTGGAGGTAGATTTTGCTCACACGCCACCTTGGACGTCTATCTAACCGCTTCCCCCAAACACTTATCCTTTCGTAGGCCTTTGTAATATTTATCTTCCGTTTTTACCAGTATCTTACCAGTTTCTATTATTTCCTACTTTGAATTGTTTATGTTGATATCCAGTCCATGGATTTCCGTTACTGGGTGCCCTACTGGGCTCCTTGCAGGTGAACCTGTTTAATTTAGCTGGGAGATGCGTTCATTGAATGCCACCTTTCCTTGTTGATTTCTTTTTCATAATTTAAATGCCTCTGTGTATAAATGGTTGTCACGAAGAAGAAACTACCGACAGAACTTAGCAACTTATAGAATTTTAAGTCCCGACCCAGTGTAACATTCTGTGTAAGAACAAAATAAAAATATACAAAGTAAAATACTAAGCGGGTGCAATGTTTGAGTTTTCATTTAACCCTTTATCTACCTGCTAAGTTAAAAATACTTGTACAGCTTCCTTTTTTTGAAACTGTTAACTATCAGTTTCGAAAATACGAGGTTCTATCAACAGTACAGAAACAAAATCCTTAAAGAACGTCCAAAACGACAAAACTAAAAATACTGCAGTCTTAGTTTGACAGAGTGACGAGTTACCAATGACCGGTACTTAAAAGTGCATATTACCGTCCACGTTCCTTTGCACCGGCTTAAAAATAATTAACTATTTAAACATGAAAAACAAATTGGTTAGCTTGGTCAGACTTCATGTTACAAGTACATGCTGGCTTGGCTCTATAAAGATTATGACAGATAATTACAGACGGGATTGTTCAGCTGAGTAAAAATATGAAAAACAAGCTCAATAAGGAAAGGCGGCGTTCAATGAACGCAACCCACACACGACCAAGAAACAAGAACCAGCGGCAAGGAGTCCTGGAGGGCCCAAAACAAAAATAGGACAAAAATGAAGACTTTATTTCTACATCACAAGTAATGAAGAGATAACGAAGTGTGTCTCTATATCTATCTTAGTCAGAATTTACGAAATATGAGACAACATTATGCTTCACTTAATTATACATATAGTTATATTTTTGCAGGCAAGTGCCTTACCAAAGATGCAGACAGCTCGATTGGTAATACACCTGAAAGCGTAGGAAATGTCGTGGTCGCCAATGCTACCTATGTTGTCAACTCGTCGGATGAAATGAAATTATCATCCTTTCGAAAACAGAAAGTTTGAAGAGACTGCTGTTCTATTCAATTGTTTTGTTCATACGATAGAGGTGAAGGAAAACGCGGGAACGGAACGTTCTCTTTGACCGGATATCATCTTAACAGTATATGTGAACTGTAAAATTTAAAAAACCGGATCAGTAATCATCATACATACGTAATCGTAATTAGTAATCATAATTAGAAATCATTATACATTTATTAATCATCATAGATCAGCAATCATCATACATTCATAATCATCATACATTAGTTACCATCATACAATTAACGTAATTATCATCACACATTATTAATAATCATACATTGGTAATCATCATACAAAAAATAACAAGAACAAATAGTAACAGGAACCTTGATTATATCATACATGTATTTGAATTCATTTTTCTCCTGTAAATTTCTCTTTTTTTAAATTTTTAAAATCAACAGCTTTTAGTCAAAAATGTACCGTAAACATAGATACGCATGTGTCTAGCTATATACATTGCTAGATTTTAAAATCGTACACATTCAATATACGCATTGGACACATCTGTTAATTGTAGTTTGTTTTCCGGATTACTGTTTGAAATAACTGAAAAAAGAAAAAGAAAAAAGAAAACAAAAATCTGACTCGTTTATGGACTTTCGGTTTGGTTTTTAAAGATTCTATATCTGCTAAAATTCGATCATTACTAGCCGGCATCTATTTTCCTATCTATATCAAATTTTGTAAATTATTTTTGTGTGTATTTTATCACTTTTTGTTAACTCATATGAAAATAAAGATGTTTTGACTTAATATCATGAATTTTAATTCTTTTGTAAAAAATATATTCGGAGTGAAAAAGATCTAAGAAGAAGTTACTTTTTTTGCGGGCTTCAATTTTGTAGGCAGTTGGTAGTTGAAAATTATTTATCATTGGTCTTTATTATATTATGATTTTTCGGTCACTGTGGACAGCGCAGCTGTATTTCCGCTGTCCACCAAGCGATGTCAATATATAAGGTGTATGTACACGGGTATTTGACCATTCGAGGTACTATATGTTCACTACACACAGACGGATTGACACGATAATAATGGAAGATAATGAGCAACGTGGCAGTGAACACGTTGAATTTAGAACCAGAGAAAGTTTAACTCGTGACAGAGAACAGTATTCGCCTTCCAGAACTTCAAGAAGTAGACGAAGTATTTCACCAGAAGTTAGAAGGAACTCGCCAAGCAGGCCAAGTGAATTTCAATCGAGAGATAGTCGAGAAGGACAGGTGCGTTCCAGAGATAGACGAGGTAAGTCCCCAGTGGAAGGGAACTAGGTTTTTCAAGCCTTTGATTTATTTAGAAGTTATTTTGATTCTCGTTTGTCTGACTTGAAGAATGATATTACTTCTTAAAGTTTGAAGTCTAATGTTAAAAAAGTAACTTTGAATAAAGAGTCGCATAAAACTCAACACGAATTTAACCTTGAAATTCTTGACGGTTTGGAGTCGATTTTGAACGAGTAGTCTAAATCACATTTGAAAGCTGATGTTAAAAGTAAGATTAAACACAGGAATAAACTGATACAAATAGCAGATAGTTTCCCCGGGGGCTGGTCTACGGTCCGAGAATATGAGAAGCCTTCTCTCGCTAGCGATAGCGATGATGAACGGAAACTCAAACAGGCCGAATCTAGAGCCATTAAAATGTTAAGACACATTCTTCAAAACAATCTCGTTTTCATCCTTATAAGAGTGATTCTCTGTCTTTCATGGGTTACAAATCAACGACACAAAGGGCAGATAATTCAAAATATTAGTTACCACCACGTCCCAACTTCAATCAGCTTTTTCATGACCAAAGGCGAGCAACACCAAATGACGTCTGCTACGCATGTGGGTACAGAGGGCACTTCCGGCGTCAATGCAACCGTGTCTTGTCTGGAAAACAGGGTACCGACGGAATCGACATACGTAAGACAACCGGAACCAGTACAAGTACAGCCACCAGTTTATGATAAGTATTTAGATGTGTATCTATGTTCAAAGGAATTTTTTGAGATGCAGGAATTAGATTTTGAAAAAAAGTTTTAAATGGAAATGTAAAGCGTCGTCTCAAGAAAAATGTATCATTTTGGGAAAAAATTGGAGCAAATGAATATATTTTAGATACATTGAGAAATGGATACACATTACTTTTATTTTCTGTACATCAAAGGTCAATTTCTAAAAATAACAAGTCTGCATTAGATAATATGGATTTCGTAGAAAAAGCTGTTTCAGAACTTTTAAAAATCATTTAATTGTTGAGGTTCCATTTACACCACCTATTATCAATCCATTGACTGTTTCCATCAACAATTAAGGAAAAAAAGAGATTGAGTTTTTTAATTTGAGAAAAGTTAATGAACATATTTGGAAAGAAAAAAATCTTTTGAGGACTGGAAAGTTGGACTTGAGTATTTTACACATGATGGGTATATGTTTAAGTTCGATTTAAGTATGGGCTACCATCATTTAGACATTTTTCCAAGCCATCAAACGTTTTTAGGTTTTTCAGTAAAGGGGAAAACTACTGTTTTACTGTTTTACCTTTTGGCATCAGTAGCGCCCCTTACATATTTACAAAAGTGTTGAGGGAAATGGTTAAATACTGGAGATTGAACGGAATAAAAACTGTTATGTTTTTAGATGATGGTTGGGGTAGCAACAAAACCTGTAAAGAACAGTCTTGAGATGGCAGGTTTTTTAATTAATAAAGAAAAATCAATATGGTTCCCAGTTCAAGAATTGGAGTGGATTGGTATTTTCTGGAACAGTGAAACATTTTGTATATCCATTCCACAAAGAAGAATTAATGATTTTAACATAACTCTAAAGTTATTGTTGGGTTCTCTCCCTTATGTATCTGCTAGACATTTAGCGAAATTTACAGGAAAAGTCATTTCTATGATGCCTGTTATTGGAAATATAGCAAGACTGAAGACTCGGTATTTTTATAAAGAGATAGAGACTAGTAAGTCGTGGGATTTTTGTTATAAATTGCCATCAAATCATCCTTGTCTTACTGAAGTTGAAAATTTAGAGAAGTTAAATGTCAGAAAATTGTCGGCTTACAATCAGGTACAGACTTTGGTATATACTCATGCAAGTCATCTGTCATGTGGCTCTTATATCGTTGACTACAAAAAAGTGTGTTCCATAGCGTTTGGAATAATGAAGAACAGACTTTAGAGAATTAAGAGCAGTTTATCTTTCTATACGAGCTTATGGAAGTTTGTTAGCAAATTCTAAAGTAAAGTGGATTCTGATTCTCAGTCCTGTGTAAAAATTGTTCAGTCGGGTAGCACGAAATTAGATTTGCAACTTGAGTCGCTTTATATCTTTAAGTTATGTTTAAAATGGAACATAGATTTAAGCATTCAGTGGGTTCCACGTGAGCATAATCAGATAGCAGACGACATTAGTAAAATTTATAGCTCAGATGAGTGGGAGGTAACTACCGAATTTTTCAATTTTATTGATCAAATGAAGTAGATAGGTTTGCCAGCTTCAAAAATCGCAAATTAAATCGGTTTAACTCTTTGTTTTATGAATATAAGTATGAGGCAATCGATGCTTTTCAGACTGCAATAATTGGCTATATATCTTGTTTCTAGAACCATATTTCACCTTGTAGCATGTTAAGGAAAAGGCACTCTGATAGTTCCGATATGGCCCAGTTCGTCATTTTGGCCAATCTTGTTAAAAAACTATGGCGTCAGGCAAGATTATCAAAGATATTCTAGAGTTTAAAGCAGGTCAAAATATTTTCATGAACAAAAATTGCATTAACTGTATTTTTGATTCAAGAAGATTTAATAGTAAAGTTTTAGCTATTCGCTAAGAATAAGAAAACACGAGGCTTTGTTAGTTGTTAATCTATTTGTAAGTTAAACTGAATAAATATATTTTTAATGCAGATTTATTTTTGTAATAAGTATATCAGATTAACACCATTACATTTTTTCTCGTTTACTTATAATCATGCCCCCTTCCCCTAATACATGCATATATATTGGTGTACTTCTGTACTTGTCTGTTTTGTGTCGTAGACAGACAACATCGTACTGATAGCAGCGGGTTTTATTTTTCTTACACGACTGTTTTTGTTTATAATTAGTACGTAGATGAAATTGTATTGTGTAAGTTGCATAATATGAATTGATGTAACAATTCTGTACATGTCTGTCTGGCATCCTATGCAGACGAAGTATCGATCCGATCCATAAGAATGATGTTTATGTTCATAAAGTTTTGTACATGTCCGTCTAGCATCCTATGCAGACGAAGTTTCGATTCGTTCGATAAGAGTGATGTTGATGTACACATTCTGTACATGTCCGTCTAGCATCCTATGCAGACGAAGTATCGATCCGATCGATAAGAATGATGTGAATGTACACAAATTCGGTACATGTCTGTATTTTATCTATATGTAGCAGAAGGATATGTTGTTTGATATTGCCGTAAAGTGGGCTGCGTTGATATTATTGTTATGTTGCTGTAAATAGAAGTTAATTTTATACATTTCAGAGACGTGTTAAAGGTTGGAGTATGGCGAAAACTGAACCAGTTAAGATTACCACAACAATTACATGAAAAATATTCAAAGCTTAAAAAGTTCACATTAAAATTTAAAGCGGAAAATACGTTAAAGAAATATAAATGCTATTTTAAGTTGTTTTGTACATGGTGTAAGAAATACAAATTTCAGCTCTTTACCTGCTCTTGATGTACATGTAGCTTTATATTTGTCATCCGTATTCACTTATGGTTCGTCAGAGTAAAAAATAAACAGTATTTTGTATTCAATCTCTTTGTGCTCATAAAATGGCCGGGTTAGAAGATCCGTGTTCTTCTGAATTTTGTGAAAAATATTAAATGTGGTATTTTAGGGAGTCTGGTAAGCCGTCTAAGCCTAAAAAGCCTCTTTTTGCCGAAGATTAAGCTAAATTAGTTTTACATTTTTAATTCAAAATGTAAATTTAATGGACATGAGATTTATTACAATGTCTCGCGGAGTAATACAGTTAAAACGATCTGATTTAGAAATTGATGATCGTCAGGTCAAAATAATGTTAGGGTCTTCTAAAACAGATCAATTAAGGAAGGGAGCTACAGTAGTTATAGCAGCAAGAACTAATAAGTTTACCTGTCCTGTTACTGCTTTGGAGAAGTTTTTAAAAATGGGGAAAATTAATACAGATTCGGTGGAATACTTATTTAGGAAAGTCAGTTTTTGCAAGAAAAAAGGTGAATATGTTTTAATAGGGGGTTCCCCTACTTCTTATACGCGTGCTAGAGAAATTCTCATTAAGAATTTAGCATCTATCGGTTTGAATACTAAACATTTCGGTTTGCATTCATGTAGATCAGGAGATGCTACTTCGGCTAGTAATCATGGAGTTTGTGAAATATTGTTGCAAAAACATGGTAGATGGCAGTCTCAGACATCTAAAAATTTGTACATTAGAGAAAGTGAAGAAATTAAACGAAGTGTGTCTTTAAATTTGGGCATTTAGATCAATTATTCATCGACTTATGAAACGCATCCCGCTCTTTTTCTGTCAATAAATTAAAATGAACCTGTAGTAGCCACTAGCTCCTACATAGTATTTCTCATTTATATTTTATCCAATTATGATATCAATTATGGAGTTAAATGATAAATTATCTATGCTTGGCTGAATGGAATGAAAGAAAACATAAATATTTATCATTGGTCTTTACTTTATTATAAATTTCACTGTATTTCAGCTGTCCAC